ACATGTTACATTTAGAACATTTATATAAAACACTATACATTCTTTTTAATTGATCCTAGGACACATAACACTACTGTAGTCTAATATGTTTTTATTAGAAGCATTTGCAGAATTTGTTCATAAACCTGCTTCCCAGAAACACAATTATAGATCAGCAAGTTACTAGCATGAAATCCCATTATAGCAATTGAATTCAGGGAGAATTTGATACTTGAGCCTCAGTTCATTATAAACTAGACACAAACAGAGAAAATCTATTTCTATAATCCCTAGGTATTTAAGGTTTAGGCTTATTGTTCCACACAGGACTAGAGCTGGAGTAAAAAAATAAATAAACAGGGGCTGATATATTAAAACATATAACTATATTCAAAATATTACAAGGACCAAAAGCACCAGTGCAATATGTTATCAGATTTAGTATTTGTTTACCTTGAATAACATTACCGACATACAATATTACTTATTGACATAGTCAACTTATTGACTATGTGTTCAACTTACATCCTACTTTACTCAGTTACATGGGACCTAATATAGTGCTAAAATAATATTTAATTTTTACAACCAGTTAGCAATAGACATGTGCGCTGACTAAAAATGTGTTTCTTTTCTAATGTTTTGATAAAATATCCAATAGCCAATAGCAGGATGGCTATTGCTCCTGCAGAGGAGCGGACCTTAGAGAGAAAATTCTGTCTATGCCTGCTCCTCTGCTGATTGACATTATGCAGTGGGTGGAGCAATAGCCAGCCTGCTATTGCAATTTGAAATAGCCTGTAGCAAGATGGCTATTGCTCTTGCAGGGGAGCGGACCTGAGAGAGAATGTTCTCTCACTGGTCCGCTCCTCTGTAATTGACATCAGGCAGTTGGCGGGTGCAATAGCCAGCCTGTATTGGCCATTTCAATTTGAAATAGTCAATAGAAGACTTTGTTTACTTCCTGCCCACTGACCATGTAAACATTTTGTCGGGCTGTGAGTATATTTTTTTGTCAGGTCTGCGGGACAATTTACATCGCTGGATGGCATGAACGACACTGGATTGACATCATAGGACATTTTTTTTGTTTTTAATAAAGTAATTGTCAAAAACCTTTGTTATTTTTTTTTCTTCAAAAAAACTGGCTTTTTCACGGTGTTGTGTGTTTATTTACATATTGAAAAACCTCAATAAAAACCTTTACAAACCATATTTGAAAATAAGGTTTCGGTCTGTGTGCAAGAGCACTGAGAGTTGCTCCTCTGTGAACATGCACATCATCGAAAGTTTTTTTTTTCTGATTCATTTTCACTTTTCTTATTCTAAACTTTTTTTCTAATTTGTTCACTTTTGGTAGCATTGATTTAAAAGAACAATACACATATTTAAACAAAGCCCACATTTTTGTTATTGTAAATATTTGTGCCTTTACATTTAATGGAAAAATCAAGTAATTTTTGTAAGACAATTTTAATTTAAAGGACAAATCATATTATGTATCACACTACAATCAATTATTCCTCCCTGCTAAACTATGGAACCGTCTATATTGTTATTTTAAACATGGTATCTCTATATCAGGCTGAAACTAAGGGAGAAACTAAAACTCCCTTCTACTTCATGTATTCTTATTTACAATAAGTATAGAATAGGATGACAAAGTTCTTACTAACCCGGTGTAACAGAACTAAAATGGTTACGGTGTTATTGGAGCTTCAAGTGTCACCCTACCTCCAGGTTATTTTCTCTGTAAAAGGACATCAGGTTATTGGCTTCCTGACCATCCTGCTTCTCTATACTGTTATTAATATGACTTGGTCAGCAGTCTTTGGCACTGAAAATTGTTTTTTAATTAAATTCACTCTTATAGTGAGCCGATGTGAGAGACCCACTTCCTGAGTTGTTTGTTTCATATTGAGTTTCAGTAATAAAAAGAGCAATTTATGCCCACACAGATGTTTAAGTGGTGTAAGCTCCCATATGTCTATGTTACCATGTGCTCTCATGTTTCCCTTACAGTAATGTGAACATCATTTAGGAGCACCAGAACTGTGGAAATAAACATAATTCTGTTAAGTAGGAGGGCAAGGGATGCATGCACTCTGCTTGAATCTTCAAGCAATAATTAGACCCTTATTGAACTTAAAGCCCAACTTTGAGCAAAAAAAGTCTTATTTCTCACCCCCACCTTTTTTTTAAAACCTCAAAATCCTACAACAACTACCTGAATCCACTGTGACCTGACCTCCGGTGCTCTTTTTCTGGTAGCAGCCAATGTTGATCTAAAGTTGCTCTCTGTTCTCTTCACAAGACTTTATACATTACCACATACAAGAGTAGCAGATACATTTTTTATTTTACATTATTTTAATACAATTTTAGCAAATAAATTATTATCTACAAAAGTATTGAAATGAAATGAAAAATAACTGCCATTTTCAATTAGGTCCCATTCACACCAGATGCGTTGGAATCCATTTTTCAATGGATGCCAATGCAAGGACATCTGAAAATGAATGGGTGTGAATGGGAGCAGTTCACAGCAGTGCGATGGATTGCGTGCGGTACCCTCTGCTGAAAAAAAAAGTAGATTAGGCTCTACATTTTTTAAGCGCAATGCAACGCAATGTACTATGTGAACTGCTAATGCATGTTAACTCAAGGCAGAACCAAAACGTTATGCAACTTAGTGTAAACCCCCCCCCCCCAAAAAAACAACAGAAGTGGAGCACACATACGTCAAAAAAAATGCAACGTATGCAACACTATGGATGTCAACATAAATTCAATTCAACATACCCCTGTTGACTTGAGTTTTTGGCTTTGATTCCTGTGTGAATGCACCCTTAATGTCCATAATCTGCAGCAGGGCCTTGTGTAAAAACTCCATTCCTTTCATATGATCTTGAGTATTAACTTGTTACAGTATGCAGTGTGTGTAAAAAAGATCTGCTTGATGTAAATAATATCATCAATCTGTGTTAAGGTTTTAACTGCCTTGCTTCTGTGTATACTTTGTAATTTTATATTTGGAAGCAGCCATATTTACTATTTGCATACTTCTCCTCTGCTTCCTGCTGTCTAGAGCTACACAGCGGCTCTGCTTTACTGCTCATCCCCACAATGGAAGTCTACCAGGTCTATTTTTACATTTTTTTCACAAGAATCACACAATGTTTATCCAGAAATGTGCATGAATCTTGGATTAAAACATGGATAAATGGATCGCTATGAGATGTTCAACTTATTGAAAACAATACAAACGTCATGTGGCCCAAAATCTTATATCTACAGTTGTTAAAGAGACTCTGTCACAACTTTGGAGAAAAAAACGTTTTTACTGAATTGAGCAGAATTAAAATAAACCCATTCCACTACTTGCACAGTCGATCTTTCATCTCTTAAAGTGCTCATGTGCATATGAGGCCTTTTCCCCACTGCTTACTGTGGTTCCTACCATCTGCCCCTATGTCAGTAGCGCATCCTGTAGTGATGTAAGGACCAGCAGATGGAAGCAGAAGTGTGTAAAGAGAGACCAGGCATTTGACACTCCCGGACGTACTGAAAGCTTCAGCAAGCTTTGCCTTTCAAGACCGGACAGATCAATGGTGCTGCCAGGGACAGGTATTCATTATTTTCTTTGAAGGTGGAACTATATGTTTTTGTTTATTAAAAAAATCTTCCCCTAGTAGTTAATTACAAATCTCTACTTTTAACATAATACAAGATAAGGAAAAATTAGCTTGTGACAATGTTAAAGCTACAACATATCTTAAGATAAACACTGAATTAACTTGACTGTCAGCCATCTAATTTGCAGCCGGATCTTTTTAAACATATATAGTATATTATTATTATTGTTATATTGTTATGAATAATTAGCCTAATATTATAAAAAAAAAGGAATGACTGATAAAAGACAACAATTAGAATTTAAAATAAAGCATGAATGTGCAACTCATTTACAGAGTTATAGAACAGTGGGAGATATACTATGCCTATATCAGAATCTCATAATTTGGATACAAGCCTGGCAGAAAAAGAGCTAGCTCAGACTTGTGGTCAGTGTTCTCATAAGCAATATGAGATATGTTAAAACCTTATCCATAAACTGGTCCTCTGTTTTATTGGTTTCACAACCAGCAGACACAGCAATGGCAAATTACTATGTCTGCAAGGTGGATGCAGCAGAAGACGGGTTAATCAGAGCTCAGGTAACTAATTGCTTTGTGCATAACCATCCGTCTGTCTGATTATCATTAAGTGGACATGACAGCACTAATGGTCAAAAGAGAACAGGGGCAATAGGTTCAATCTGACTCCTTAGATTACAAAGTGACATCACAGAGGAGTGACAAGCTGCCAGTTGCTGACAACAAGAAAACATCTCCAGGAAAGTTAGTGAACATCAAGAAAAAGGTACAGAAGAGATGACCAGAAAGCGAGATAAGTATTGCTAGAAATTGATGAAAAGGGAGTACAATTATGGTAATTATCTGTGCGTGATTTTCCAGCAATACCTTGTTTGTAGACTAGACATTTCTAACAAAAATACTAATGATCTTACAATATTAAGGATAACTCGTTGGGTAATGGCAAGCACATAGTGAGAGTTAAGCCCTACAAAAGAATAGAAGAAACAGACAGATGCTAAAATCATTCAGAGCAGTGGACTGCAGGAATAATCAGAAAGGAGCAGTGTTGTACAGGAAACATATCACACCTATCATACATAACAAGAAGACAAGGAAGGAGTAAAAGAGTGAGATAGACGACAAAAAAAAAAAAAACCCTCTAAGATTAGAAGTGGAAACCCTACATTGCTGTATTAGAAGGACAAACCCAAAACTAGGATAATTCTAAGTTGACAACTGAATGAAAGGTCCTGGCGCAGCGCGGTTTGGATGATTCCTGTCTCCGGAAAAAAACAGAAGATCCTAAAGTCTAAAAAAGGTCTATAAGTGACCTTTAGCGGTTGTAGTCATCATTGAAGGTAACACTTGAGGCCAACAGACGAAATGGTGCCAAGAAAATTCTGCATCCAGCCTAACGTGATTGTACCAGCTCTCTTCATGATTAGTGCTGGTAAGTTAATACACATATTCCTGTGAAGTAATTAATAATGCCTTCATGTTATGCTCTGTGCTGCAATGCTTTCCATGTGATATACTGTATATTATGAGGAGTACATTATGTAACAGATATTGTATTAAACCAAATAATTTAGCTGTATAATGATGGTGATGAGTTCACTGAAAAGCCTGTAAAGAAGAATGATTACTCATTCTCAGATTGAGTTAACAGAGTATACATGTTTGAAATAAGAATCAGCTCACAGAAATATGAGACGGTCTTTTACTGTATTCCTCATAAACAGTATTCTGTTTGCTTTCAGATGTGTTAGTGGCTCCTGTGGGTAATAAAGAATGCTTCAATGGTTTGATACAGCTATAAACCGATACCAGGATGTAGCTGGAAAACAATTTCCAGGAATGCCCACAAGCCATGCTTTGGTAAAGTTAGGGATATTAAGAAATAGAGTTTTAAAAGTTATGTTTATTTTTTTTTACAATTGGAGAAATAGTAAATAATGAGATTACATAAGGTTCATGTGTGTTAATTGTTTTATATTGTTGTATTGAAGTATGTGGAATAGAAAATGTTACCAAGCCAGTTCTGATACGTCTGTCAGATGAACTCATGGAAGGCTACAAGAAGGGTGTAAGGCCAGTGCATAACTGGAGGCAGACAACCACTGTCTTCATAGATGTCATGGTGTATGCTATCTTAGGAGTGGTAAGTAGATATGCATCCTGAATGTGCAAAATCAATCAAAAAGTCATATAAAATAACAAGAAACTATGTGATAAAAGTGTATTTTTTAAAGCTGCTGATGCTCTAGTAAAAAAAAATAAAAAAAAATATTATTATTATTAATAATATTAATAATACTATTAACATAATGTATATATTACATACTGATATATTATTCAGTACGACAGTGCAATGCATTAAAAAGGGGTTATCATTACAGATTTATGATACAGAAGGAAAATATGATTTGGATATAATTTCTAGCCTAAATGAAAAGAAAAAAAATATAAAAAATGTAAGTTAGTATACAAAACCACCACAAAAAAATGTAAGTAATTGAAGGAATAAAAGGGATGTTTCACAAAAAACAACTCCATTATACATTAATCACACCTAAAGGGATCCTACCAACACCTAAATTATAGAACACATCATTGTATGGAAACCTTAAAACATTGAAGAGTTTCTACCTAATTACTACTGTGTAGATACACAATTTCCTATTTTCATATTGCACCTATGAATAAAAAACAGTTTATAATTTGCAAAATATAATCACTATTTGTCATATGTGACTTTAATATTTAAGTCACTGGGGTTGATAAAGAAGTGGGATATACCAAAGAAATATAGACTGTTCACATAGCAAAGTGAATGTTCACAATCCAAAGTGAATGTTTATTTAGCTTAGTGAATAGGATGAAACTTTGTTTGCTTTATTCATTCCAATCATGTGCAAGAAAAAATCCTGTGTTTTTTTTTTATTTCCCTCGCACACGATTGGGTGTTTACAGTGAGCACAGCTTCAGCTTGTTTACTAGTTTACTTGTTTTACATTATAGGGATCAAATCTGAGCACAGTCCTTTGGAATCTCCTTACTCACTTGGCTTATGGAACAGTCAGTAGTGTCCACAGTTGCAGATGACGACAATCTATAATTCATGATAATCAAAAATGCATTTATTGTGACATTGCAGTAACATTTAGAAAAATCAAGAATTTTGGAAAACATAATGTGTATAATGTTTTCAAGTCTTAAACCTAGGCTATGGTAACATCCAGTTGCAGATTGGAAACCTGTTAAATACTTTATAGATGTGATACAGGAGAGCTAAATAGCAACACTCAATAACAGGAAGCTGTTGTAAATGCCAACAAAGTGATCAAAATCCAATTAAAATGTATTATAAGCACCAAATTATTGTATATGTTTTCCTCTGTCAG